TCGGTTGATTTTGTGACCCACGTGGCTCAAATCGCCAATTGCCATGCAAAAGAAACACGAAATTTCCAAGTACGACTGCATAAACTGAATCTAAAGAAATGTACATTAAAGCACCGCAATGTATCAAGTTTGGTATAAAAATAATTAGTACAAAAAGACACTTTCCGTAGATATTACTTGTTAATATTATTTTGGTAATTAGGTAATAACTTGGTTTTGGATACTATCGAGATAATAGACACTTTGGGATAATGTTTTAGTTGTTCATTTCGCGAAAAACACTGGTGCATATCGATGGAAGCCTTTTTCTTGAAATAAAGTCAAATTCAGATGCAAATAAAGAAGTTGAACGAGTGTTAAAAAGTTCAAATCTTATGGAAAAAATCAGTCTCACAATTTGGCAGTGAGGAGTAAAATAGAGTTTAGTTTTAATTACTTTCATTGTTAATCATGTTAGCAATGTTAAATCATTACAACTAAATTAACAAGACTCTTGAAATGAAATTTTTTCGACTAAATATTGGTTCGACTACTTTTGTTTTCACTGAGCTAGTTTAAACTGGACACTTGTTTCTGGTTCCGGTTTTTGTCTTTTAGGGTAAAGTTTTGAATTCAAGTTTCAGTTGTGAATCTTTTGTTTTCTTCTTTGCTTCAAGTTCATTTTTGCCAGTCAATTCTTTTCACAGTGATTGCTATAAAACCATTTTTCTCACAAAAGATAATTTTTATTCCTGCCAATGGATAATTCACTGAAAAATATTGAAAAAGGTGAGTCTATTTTTTCATGAACCATGATAATACAACGATGTTAACTTTTCGATTTATTTAGTTACCATAAAGGTTAAGGTTGAAGACGAGGGATATCATGATATACAGGGCAATTCCGCTAAAAGGTATGTTTTCTTTTGACTGTTATTCAGCTCTTGGTTGACCGATTGACCCATGATTGTGTTTATGCAAATTTCGCCGATACTTATTTGTCATATTTCACGGTCAAGGTCGTACAAGGTCATTTTGCGGATATCGCTCAGGAAGACTTTAGAGGTCATATGAATGTCATTTCATAATTTTTGACCTTCAAAAATTATTCTGACGAAGTTTCAATCTTCTGTGATTAGTCATTCTCAAGTTATTATGATTTGAATATCCAAATTTTGTTTTTTATTCAAAATAATTTTTGAGTGCAGAGCTCCTTTTGAGTTACCCAGCCAGTACCACGTGGAGGGGGAGTTGCAATTTACTGGCCATCACTTAATAAGAGATTTCTCTGCCTATTAAGCGAGGTTTTTTTGAGTTTTCCATCTCATTCTCTTACAAATCAGAGGAAATCAGCTTAACTGTAATCTTTGTGCAGTTTCAGCTGCCTGCCTTCGATGGCAACGCAAGCTCGACAACGGACTGCTACAGAGATACAAGCTCTGCTGATTTCCTCTTGAGCTAGCTCTTGAAACTCCTCAAAAATGAATGATTTCAGCTCATCCACTGTTCGCGGGTTTCTTTTGAAAACTTGGTCTTTCAATCGCCCCCAGAGGTAAAAATCGCAAGCAGTCAAGTCAGGAGATCTTGGTGGCCATTCCGTCGTGCCTCTTCTTCCGAACCACTCAGAAAATGTCTCACTCAAAAGCTCTCTGACAATGACTGCATGGTGTGGAGGGGCTCCATCTTGCTGCCAGATGAAGAATGTCCTCCAATCTTCCCTTACCTCTGCGAGCTTGGGAAAAACAAAGTTCTCCAGCATCGCTCTGTAAGAGCTCCCTGTTACATTTTCCGTGTAAAAATAAGGACCTATTCTGCCACCTGCCCATATCCCACACCAAACCATGACCTTTCTAGCCCCAAGATTGTCTGCTTCGAAGGATCTATCTGGATTTGAAGAATCCCAGTAAACACAATTGTGCCTGTTAACAGTCTGAGCAAGACTGAAAATCGACTCATCAGTCCAGATTATCCTTCCAAGCAGATCATTTTCATCCTGAAGTCTAACCAAAATCTCATCAGCCCACTCAACTCTCATATCAAAATCCCCTTCATTGAGTTTGTTAAGCAACTTGATATGATAGGGCTTGAGTTTTAAATCTTTTCGCAAGATCCTCCAAGCCGTGGGTTGTGAAATGTTGTTGGAGCGATTTTCAAAAATCTCTTGTTCCACAGAAGCTTGACAGCTCTTAAAGCAGCTGTGCAAGACTTCTGTGCAAGAAGATAATTTTCAAGTAAATCGATTTTTTGAATCTTTGAAAATCTAGGCGCCATAATTTTGATAATCTGATAAAAAGTAAATTCTAAAGTTTTGTGTGACTGAACACTGCTAAAATAGCTGATAATGAAATGAAAATCTTTGATGAGAAATTGAAACGAACAACTTTAATGATAATTTTACTGAATTGATTTGGATATTCAAATCATAATAACTTGAGAATGACTAATCACAGAAGATTGAAACTTTGTCAGAATAATTTTTGAAGGTCAAAAATTATGAAATGACATTCATATGACCTCTAAAGTCTTCCTGAGCGATTCCCGCAAAATGACCTTGTACGACCTTGACCGTGAAATATGACAAAAAAGTATCGGCGAAACTTGCATAAACACAATCATGGGTCAATCGGTCAACCAAGAGCTGAATAACAGTCAAAAGAAAACATACCTTTTAGCGGAATTGCCCTGTAGTAATAGATTCGTCGGATGAAAGTTTCTATATAAAGATCAACAAGTTATTAACCAGGTGAGCCATTTTCTCATGTTTCATTTCGATTTTGCTGATTTTGAGATTAAACTTGACATTCAATTTTATTCCGAACAGCTTTCGTCGATAATCGGGATTCCACTTCAATTAATCAGGATGACTATCTTAATTTAGGCGCCTAATAATTATTTTGATTTACGAAATATTGAACATAAATCATCCGATCCTTGGATATACGAACCTGGTGAGGATGAGCCTGATGCAATGTCGTGTTTCTTCACCAGAAAGAACTGTTTGGGAAGATTGAATGATGGTGATCGTTTTGTCTTGCGTACTGATTTGTGGCCGGATGGCTGTTGTTTCGATCTATGCATATATTTGTATAGCCTTGATAGTGAGTTTTACAATGAAAACAATTGTACTCAGAACTATTGTCATTATTCAAATAAGAAAACCTTTATCGATAGAAGAGTATCAGTTGCTACAAACACTGAGTTACAAATGATATTACGAGTAAAGTATGCCGAATTACCTCCTATTGTAGACGCTAATTCATACGAAGAAAATTATTCGCAAAGAAGAAGAATCTTGAGAGAGTTGGACACCAAGATGTATATTTTGATACAGCAGTGTTGCTCAAGACATCATCACCGGTATATATCTTCCTATTCAAGAACTCGTGGTAACTTTTATGCGATGTCTAAACTAAAGGGCAAGATAAAAGATGATTTGATTGGCCGGAATGGTATTTAATCTCGAATTGATCTGAATTTGGTCTCTGATTTCAATTGAACATAAAATAATTCACCAAAAACTACACCAATAAATCTTGTAATTTTGTACCAATACTATCTTGAAAGATTAAAATAAAATTTTGACAATTTAGTAATAATTCAACGTTTAGTATTAAAATGTAAGTAATGACGTTTATGCACTGACTTTTTACACATTATAAATACTTTTTGTTCCCTTTGTACGATCATTTTGATAAGAGTCGATTCAAGTCTCAACTCTCAATCAGATCACATAATTTACAATCGTGGTAAAAATCGTGCGAAACTTCCATCGTATAATAAATATTAAGAAAATTTTTTGAGACTCAATCAGAAAGAAATAACCCAGAACAAGGATTTGAGGAAGTTGAAATACAATCTGACCAAGTAGTTGAAAGATACTGAACGAGATCATGAGAAATTCCAGGAATTATGAGCGAATACTTCGTTATTTTGTCAATTTGCACTTTTTTCTTTCTTTTCCGATTTTCAATAAAAATGTAGTCGTTAATCTCATCTCCTTGGTCACTTATTACCTAATTAGGGCTTTCACGCTGTGTAATTTTTTTTTTTAGAGCCCGCTCAGTTTGGCCACAATCTTGACGCAAAAATTTAATACTTTGACTTTATATATTGTATAGATGAAATAGTTATATTTTATGTTTCAATGGATACTTTATGATCAAAAACGATTGACTTTATATATATTATAAAATTGTACATTGAATAATTACGATTAAAAATACAATTAACATGAAAAAGCTTTTGTATTGAATAATTCAAACTGAATTTGGCTCTTTTAATGAACTAATGATTGTAAAGTCTCATACATTTTTGCCTAACCTAAACTTTACCAGAGTTTCGCAAGTATGCGACTGGTTTTATCTAGCGAATGATGGGAGAGCGATGATGATAGTGATCAAGATACTGAACAATGTCGATAGGGACGAAGTCGTTAGCAAGAACATTCCTCCAAAAGTAAATCCAATTTCATTGTGATTGAGGAATAACGTAATCTAAAAGAGAAACAGAAAATAATTTGTAATTAACTTTGAACCAAATTGTATGCAATCATAAATGAAAACACCAACCTCATTGAGAACCCGAATCGAATCTGTTTTCAATGATAATTTATACACAATGGCTACCAATTCAAGAGATTTTTCATGAATTTTAACATTCGCATGTATATATATCATATTTGTTATCAATATAAAGCTAGT